GTGCAGACACACCAGCTCGCTGGGCATACAGCGGGCGCTCAAGCAGGGGCTGGGAAGTTGGGAGCCCCTCCCAGAACAGGCCTCCCTGAGGTTTTGTACACCAAGTCCTCCCTGTCCTAGCGACCACGGTCTATTTAGAGAGCATTTTGCAGAAGCCAGCCAGCCCCCCCACATCCACAAGTGGGGGGGGGGGGGTCCAAGGATGCGGCCCAGGCCCGAAGGGGCAATACCCTGGCAGTGCGTCTAGTCCTGACCATGCCGCTGCCCGGCTCGGAGACCTGGGCACCCCACCCTCAGCATCAGGGCGGCTCTCGGCTATGCCGTCCACGTGGCTCACCTCCCCAGCTCCCGCCCAGAGCAGCCGGTCTGCCTGACGGAAGGATCTGGACAGGGGTGAGCAGGGAGCCCCGTCTACCTGAGTGTGGGAGGGGGACAGCCGTCTGCGTGTCAAGAACGGCCTCGGCCACCTAAGTGCCCAGTCAGGGTCCCTCCCATCTCCGCCCACCCACGATTCTCACTCAGCCAAGCATCACACAACTCGGACCCCAGCTGACGGCCAGCATGAGCACCGGTCCGCCCCAATGACCCAGCCAGCTCAGTGCCCAGGAAAAGGCGTCCTCGGCCACCAGGCCACCTCACCCCCAGGGCATCCCAGCACGGCCCCGTGTCCTGCCCGCACGCCCAGGCCCAGCTGGGGCTGCTCCCGCGGGAGCAAGAGTCCCCCTCAAACGGCACAGCTGCCCCACAACCCCCGGGAAGCTGCCGCCTCCCAGCGCCAGAGGAAGCTGTCCCCGACGATGACAGCAGGTGGGCCCCAAGCAGCCACACATTCATCCAAAGCACGGCTGTTACACAGATGCCACGTGACCGAGCCACACACACGGTTCCAGGCACCAGGGATCCAGGGACAAGACCACACCTGGCCCCGACTTTATGTTCCAACAGAACAAGATAACACTTCAAAGACTTGGTGCCCCCTTCGACAGCTCTCCTCCACTACCAGAGGCAGCGGCCAGGGACACCGGCTCACGACCACCACCCAGGTGCGGGCTCTCCCTCCCCAGGCGAGGGGTGCCCCCTCCCCGCCCTCGCCTAGTGGTCACGGCTGGGGGCTCACGGCGCTCGCCCTGCCGCCTTCTCCAGCACCATCCACCAGCCCCGGCCGCTGGGAGGTGTCCCGGGGCCACCACAGGGCAGGAGGCGGACCTGCCCACCCCCAGCTCGGTTTCTACCAGCTCTTTCCTCTTGGGGGGGTGGGGGGGGGCCGGGATCGCTGACGACACAGGGCAGCTGCTGGACACTCACGTGTGGCGGCCTTCGGGCCAGGCGTCCTGCACACCGTCTTCCTGACTAGCAGGGACGGGTTTGCGTTTTCACCACAGGCTGGTCCCTGGGAGGACCAGCCCCTCTGGTGAGATCACAGCTGGCAGGTCCCGTGCCCCGGGCCAGAGCGCTGCCAGGAGCACCGGGATGGACTGGCTATGCCTGCCGCGGGCACCGGAAGGGTGGAAGGAGGGAGGCAGGCACAGAAGAGACACATGCTGGAAACAGTTCCCAGGGGGCGCTCAGGGGTGTCCCATTGGCGACAGGGTGGCATCCATCCATCACGGACCCTGTCACCGGCACGCACAACCGGGCAGACATAACTGGACAGGAAGTCCCAGGCGAAGGACAGCAGCGCCTTCCGCTCAGACCTCAGCGGCCCAGACAGACCCACCTGGGACCCTCCAACGCCTCTGCCCTGCGGGCCTCCTGTCAGAAGCGCTGGAGGCTCCCAGCATCCCCCGGGGGCTCATGAAGAATGAATGCAGGTTCTCGGGCCCCACCCGGACCCCCCGAATCAGCAGCTCTGGGGTGGGGCCCGGCCGTGCGAGTTTTATACACCACCAGGTGCTGGCGACACCAGGCGTGGCCTGGAAAGCTTTGAAGAGCGGAGCCAAGGCGGCACCTGACAAGGTCCCCGCATCTGTGGGTGGCTGGCCTCAGGGTGACTGGGGGTCCCAGGTGATCCCCTGTACAGAGGTGGGGGCTGAGATCCGGCTGCAGACACGCCCCCACCCCCACAGCCCCCTTGGCTGTATGACCCAGAGACCGGGACCACGGGTCAGAATGCCACCCCCACCACGTTTTCCAGGAAAGCCTATGTGCCTGTCCCCTCCCTCCACAGCTGCCCCCCGCCCCAGAGCTGACCCCCGCGTCCCCCGGGGAGGGTCCTGGACACCCCGATGAGGACCCGGCCAGGGCCCAAGGAGGGAGCGGTGGCCCCTCTCTGTTCCTGCTGTCTCGGCCTGGCCGTCTCTTGGCTGTGACAATGACCAGGGTCCTCCTGGGTTTAGCCACGCCGCAGCCGCCGAGGCCACTTTCACGCTCCAGTGGAGGGCGGGCCTTGGGGCCTCTGGGACGCTGACCCAGCTTTCGTGTGGGCTGCGCTGTCCAAGCAGAGTCAGAAAAAAAGAGGGAACTGGCCTGTCAGCCCATTGAGACAATGCAGGAAGCAGGGCTTCATCCTGCGCCTCGAAGGGAGGCTTCTTATCCCGGACTCTATTGCAGGGATAGAGGACGTGGTCACCCCTGCCTCCAGTGGGTGGCCCTGGACACCAAGAGACCCACACAGCTCAGTCACGGCGCAAATGTGCAGACACACCCACTCCCCCCCCCCCCCCCACCGAGAGGTCTTGGGGTCAGAGGGGAAGGGGAGGGGCTGGCATGGTCCGGGGGAGGGTAACAGTGCCGTGCACCAGCCCCACGCAGGCTGAGGGCACCGTGCGTCACTGCATCCCCTCCCTCAACGGGGAACCCAGCCCAGAGAGGGGAAGCATCTTCCCCAAGCTGCTCAGCAGAGATGGGCCTGAGCCAGACCAGGGTCCATGCGCTCCCTGAGCTGGCACCCGGGTTCTCAGACCTTCGCTGCAGGCAGGGGCCATTAGTCCCACTTCACAGACGAGGAAACCGAGGCTCAGAGGTTGAAACCAGCCCCAAGCGGAGCTCCTCAGGCGTGTGGACTCCGAGCTCTGCCCACAACACGGGCTCGACTCCTTCATGGGACCCAGAGCCCCATTTCTGTGGGATTTGTCAGAAAACCACCCCGTGTCCCAGGTCCTCAGTCCCGAGGAAGTTCTCCTGGTCGCTAAACTTCAAAGTCATTTCTGCAGACTCTCCCACGTCCTCACGGACCCTGGGCCGAGAACTAAGCCACAGGCCAGAGACGAGCTGCCGTGAGGGGACCCCGGGTCCTCGACGACGCTGTCCCCCAGCCCTTTAACTACCTCTCGTCCGCGGAGGTCAACAAAATAAACCAAATACAAAAGGTGAAGGAATGAACGACAGACAGGAAGGCAGGAAATACAGCCAGATGCCAGCCAGAGCCTGGATGGCGCAGCAGACCGGGGCTCGTGACGCCGGCTTCCTCTTACGACCTGTGTTCCAATTTTTCTATACGAGCGACTGTCACATTTTTACTGGAAGAAATAACCATGAAACCTAATTTCATCTTAACCCCCCAGGGGAGTGGTCATAAATGCTCCTCCTGTTTCTTTCCAGGCCTGAACGCACCTGGGGGGAGGCGAGAGGGGGCGAACAGCCATCTTGGACCTCGGAGCTCAGGCAGGGACTCCGCTTTTCTCTTGGCTTCTTAGAAAGGATTTTGTTTCCCTCTAAAACCTGGGATGTTGGGAGCGGTACGTATTCCGGCAATAAACGGCACCTACCAGTTTCGTTCGCACTGTTCAAAGCTCACTGAAAACTAGAAGCACAGGCACTAAAACCTTAATTAGCAAAGTTGGGAAGTTTTCCTGCCCCCGGCCAGGAACACAGAATCATCCAGAAAGACGCTGGGGTCTGTCCTCCCAGAAGCCTCCTGCCCAGGCAGCCGGGGGCTCCATCCCTGAGCGCCTCGGGGTAAGACCCCCAGGTCCCACCCTGACCCAGGAAAGCACACACAGGACAGGAAGCTCTCAGGTAAGTCAAATCAGGAATGGTTCCTTTAGAACCCAGGCACGTGGCCTCCGGGGGGGGGGGGGGTCTTGGCTTTCAACAGGGCCACTTCCTCCCAGCTGCAAGTGGTCCCTGCCGTCCACGGCCTCGCCGCTCACGCACCTACATCTGCAGCTCCCAGGGAGCCAGGCCCTGAGCCCCTTCTCCAGCTCTGAAGCCCCCACCCTGCCCCAACACCAAAGCCACCTTGAATTCCAACATGGCACCTGCCAACGGCCAACTCGAAACCGATGTTAAGTGCCCGCCAGCCCTGCGGAACCCCGAACTCAGTAAGGGCCGCGTCTCACAACAGCCTTTGCCCACGGCACCAAGTCTTACACGGAGCCATTTCCAGGCGCCCCCAGCCAGTCCCTGTGGTTAGGACTGTGTCCTGGGGCCCATGGACAGCCAAGACAGCTTCCTCCCTCTCCCATGTCCTTGCGGGGCTAGGCCCGCAGCCTGGAGACAGCACACTTTTGTCTTCCCAGAAGAGTCCACCTCCTTTATCCCTCAACACCTCTCCTTGAACACCAGCACTCGAAACAGATAAAGGAGACGCTGTCCTGTCGGATGGAAGGCCGCAGGGCCCAGAACCTCCTCAGATCATCCACTGCCTTGCGGCCCCCCCACCTCCCCGAGAACCTCCGAGGAGCCCCCAGTTCTTGTGTCCCCCCCATATCCCCCACCTGAGAACCACCGAGGAACCCCGAGTTCCGGCGCACTGCCTCCCCGAGAACCTCTGAGGAGCCCCGAGCTCGTGTCCCCCCACCCCGCCCAGAACCTCCAAGGAGTCCCGAGTTCTTGCATGCCCCCCCCACCTCCAAAGAACCTACTAGGAGCCCCCGGTTCTTGCGCCCCCCCCACCTCCCTGAGAACTCCGAGGAGTCCCAAGTTCTTGTGTCCCCCCACATCCCCCACCCGAGAACCTCCGAGGAGCCCCGAGTTCTAGCGGGCACAGTCCAGAAACACCAGCGCCGCGCCCCGAGCGGCCCAGGCCCCGCGGCCCTGCACGCCCGCGCCCCTCCTACCTGGAGGCCGCGATCTCCGCCTTCTGCTTGGCGATGGTGGCGGCCCGCTCGGCGGCCTCCACGGCCCGGTCCACCTTCTCGCGGATCTTGCTGGCGCGCAGCGGGATGAGGTTCTTGCGCTTGCCGCTCACGAGGACGTTCTGCTTGTACTTGCCCTCCTCCTTGGTGCCGTCGGGGAACGTCATGCAGCCGTAGCCGTGCCGCCGGTTGCCGGCCCACTCGCCCTCGTACTTGAGCCCGTCCGAGCGCTGGCTCACCCCGAAGCCCGAGCGCTTGTCGCTCTTCCACTCGCCCACGTAGGTCTCGGTGGTGGTGGCGTCGATGTCGTCCTCGATGACCGCCAGCTCGGCCTCGCCCTCGCCCAGGCTGATGGTGGAGTGGATGTCGCTGGCGGTGGAGCTGACGGTGCTCATGCCGGCCTCGCTGCGGAACGAGCTCTGCTTGCTGCGCTGGCTGGCCAGGCTGCTCTTGGACTCGGACTTGCGCAGCTTCAGGCCGCTCAGCAGCGAGCGCCGGAACAGCCCCTTCTTCTTGCTCTTGAGGCTGTCGGAGTCGCTGTGCGCCACGAGCACGAAGCCCCCCCGGGACACGGCCGGGCTGCCGGCCGCCGCCGGGGACGCGTCGGGGTGCAGCGCGGCGCCGTTGGTGTGCTCGCTGCGCAGGGAGTTGATGGACGTCCTCAGGGGCGAGCGGATGACGGCCGCCATGCCGTAGGGGACGCTCTGCCGCACACCGTAGCCCTGGCGCATGCCGCCGGCCCACTGGCCCTGGTAGGTCCCTGCGGAGACAGCGGAGAGAGGGGTGAGCCCCGCGCAGGACCACGGGGGTCGGGGGGGGGGGGGGGACACCGTGGGTTGCCTGACACATCCTGGCACGGTTCGCGTTGAGGCACACGGACCGCCGATGGCGGAGAACCCTTGAGCCCTGCTTCCTACAGCTGCACCTCAAGCTCTTACAAGTTGGGGAGGGACAAGGGGGGTGGCCGAGTCTCATACAGAGTCAGCTGTGAACTACAGAGCTCTCCCCGCACAGGGACAAAGGCCCAACCCTGAGAAGACAGGGAGAGGACGCAGCCAAGGAGAGGGAAGCACGTTAGCGAGTGACCCCGACAGTTGTGGGGTCTGGGAGTCCAGCTACAGGGACACAGGTCGAGGCCACAGACCCAGTACGAGCAGGTGGGGGGAGGAAGGGTTTGGAAGAGAATTGGGAACATTAAGGTATCGCAATCCGCAGACCAGACGTCCCCAAAAGCATCAAAAGCAGAAGCTCCAAAGAAGCATTTGCACACCCACGTTCACAGCAGTGTAATTCAGATGGCCAGCAGGCGGGAACAACCTGAGGGTCCATCCGTGGACGGACAGATAACGTAGGGTCTATCCATACAGTGGAAGATTATCCAGCCGTTAAACTCTGACACCCGCTACAGCAGGGATGAACCGTGACAACTTTACGCTCGGTGAAACGAGCCAGTCACAGAAGAACAAATACCGCAATCACATTTACACGACGCCCTTCCAGTAGTCAAGCTCACAGAGAGAAGAACGGCAGGGGCCAGGGGTGGGGGGGGGGCCGCCGGGAAGAACAGGAAGTTGTTGAATGGGGTCAGTTTCTATTCGGGGTGACAGAGAAGTTTTGAAAGACAGAGGTGACGGTGGCACAACATCGTCAATGTAACGTGACTGACCTGCGTGCTTGAAGAGGGATCAAAATTGCAGATTTTATTATATATGTAATATCCTAACAGAAGAGGATAAAAAGGAGAAATAAAGCGGCAAAACCAGGCTCGTGTTGCTCTACTTGTCGTGTGATGGGAACCTCTCTGACCCTCAGTCTCCTCATCGATAGAGGGGGGGATGAAAACCCTAGGGTTCCTAGAGTCACTGCCAGGCCTCAGCTAGGCACCACTGAGGGGCTCCCCACCCCGGAAGGGCTTCTCAGTGAAAATGGGGGGGGGTTGTTCCCCTTCCTCTCCCAACTCACTGTTACAGAAGCAACATACAGGTTTTACCTGCCCCATAGTGTTTTCATAAAAAAAACTCGAAGAGCCAACATTTCAAAATCAAGGGGTTGCCACGTGAAAACTCAGTTCTGGTTTCTCCTAAAAAAAAATTACAGGATCTGGCAACCCTGGATCTTGGTCCTCTAGACAGGGCATCCCTAAAGGACGTCAGCCATCGATATGCCACTACCCACCACGGTCACCCACAGCCCCAAGTCACAACAGGTCCTGACCCTCCAAGGGCTCGCCTGAGACCTTATCCAAGCAGCCTGCCCTTACTTAATCCCCAGCCCCGCCGTCCAGATCCCACCTGGAGCCCCCTCCCAACACCTAGGCTACCCCAGCCCACAGAACGTCCCACATTCCACAGGTGGACTCTGGAGAGTGCCTGGGTCCTTCCACGTTTGCAGGACACATCCGCCTGCTGAACCAGGCTGCCAGCTCCCCAGAGAGTAAGGGCCTTGTATTCTAGACCCGTTATTCTCATGACTCATGCCCGGGGGGGGGTGGGGGGGGGGAGATGTAGCCGGGACAAAGGACCAGGGAGACTTCTGCTCCAGCAGACAGCAGCCTGTCCATTTAAAAAGTGCCCCACAACACAGTTGCTTTCTAGAAGCAGGGCCCGGTTCTTGGGAACCTATCCTATGGGCCAGGCCGAGAAGGGCGGCCTCAGAAGCACATGCACTTCAGCCCGATCCCATGGAACTCATCCCACCCGGCAGGGAGGGCTTCTGTACCCCCACCCGGGTCAGTCATCTGGTAACCGCAAAGCCGGGTGGGGGTGCACCCCGCTGGGGGAAGCAGCCCCGGGCCCACGGCCTTAACTCGGGGAAATACAGTGCAGCAAGGGCTCTCCCCTCCTCCCACCCCTGCCCCAACCAAGAGCTCTCCCTGCCTCCGGCTGGCTGCCTGTGCCAGGCAGTGGGTACCTTGTCCTCTGGAGGGTAGGATATGGATTTTATCCACGTGCCCCATGGCGTCCACCGCACCCCTCCCAGAGTCCAGTCAACCTGGCTGTAAGCACGGGGCAGGCCGGACAAAGGCGGTGGCTGACTCTGTGCCACCCAGCACGCCAGGGCCCACGCTGGGACAGAGCCTGTGGCTTCCACCAACCCAAGGCCGTGAGGAGGACACCGGGAGCAGGCTCAGTGGTCCCGGCGGCTCCTTCCCTGAGGGTGGGGCAAGCAGGCCCTTGAAGGCCTCCTGTGCCCAGTCCAAGCTGCGAGTGTCCACACCCACATCCAAGGAAGGTTCCTTGGCCAGAGTGTGCAGTTTTGTTGGACCTGCGTTTTTTTAACAGTATTTATTTTGAGGGAGACAGAGACAGCACAAGTAGGGAGAGGGGAGGAGGGGGGAGGGGGGAGCGGGGGCGAGAAGTCCAAGCAGGCTCTGCACGGCCAGCGCAGAGCCCGACACAGGGCTCAAATCCATGAACCACAAGATCATGACCTGAGCTGAAGGTGGATGCTCAGCTGACTGAGCCACCCAGGTGCCCCTGTATCTGCATGTTTGCCCCCAGTGGGAACTCTTCTACAAGGCTGCAGTCGACATCGGCAAGAAACTGGATTTCACCATCAAGGAAACACCACAGCCCAGCTCTGCTAGGACCGGCCTGGGAGCACAGCCTCCTCCCTTCCCCACAAAGGGCTGACAGAATCAAGAGAACAGACCCAGGTCAGCTCAGCGACCAGAGAGGCTGTGGGAGGCTCCCATCCCCCACCCCCTGCCCTCCCCAGCCTCTCTGCCCAGAGTCCTCAGCCCTCTCCCCCCTTGCCGGAGCTGGCAGGGTGGGGGCAGGGGAGACAAAGGGTTCGAGCCCCTCCCAACATTTGAATCCAATCCGTTATTTGCAAAACCCTAAATCCAGTGTTTTGTTTTATACCCCAAGCAGCCTGTGTGTGAGAAGGCCGGAGCCAACATGCCCAGTACAACGGGAAGACCAAGTGACCCTGATAGGTATTGTCCCTGCAGGATGCTGTGAGGGCCCCAGAGCAGGGGAAACTTCCTGTGTGCACCTCCACCCTGACCCTGGGCCACCGGTCACAGAAAGACTCAGGCGCAGATGGACAGCTGGGGGCATGCCTACTTCTCTCCAGGCAAGCTCAGTAAGGCAGAGCACCCTCGAGTGGACTCCGCCTTCACCCACCTCACCTGCCTATTCTGATGACGATAATGGGCTGGCCTCTCCATCCCCATCACCTGGAACTTGGAATCAGGAGATCTGAGGGGACCTGCAGGTGAGGAAGCAAACCTCCCCGATCCTTGCCTGGGAAATGCTATCTAGAACCGGCAAGACTCGCAGGGAAGAGCCAACGGGACAAGGCTGTGGGACCTGGGACTGCCTTACACTTGAGCAGCATCAGCATCCCCCGAGGAGCAGGATAAAACCCCCTGAATTTGAGTCAGGGGGTGCAGCCTGAGCTTCTGCATTCCTAACAAGCTCCCAGGTCACCCTGCCGCTGCATCTGGAACCCCATGGAGGCTCCATACCTGGCTTGGCATGCCATCCAAATTCCGAAAGCCAGAGCCCAGGCAAGCCCCAACCCCCAGCTTCTGGCTCCTTGGGCTGGGCGGACAGTCAGCTCTTGCCGAGTTCTGTGTGGCTCCCTCGAGCTCCACACATCTCTCACAGCGTTTTTTTTTCCCATCTGAAGCCCCTGCCCATCAGCTGACACTCTTCCAAAGCACTTGTCCCACAACCCAGAGGACCACCCTGGTGGAAAATGCAGTCTCCGCCACAGGCCGGCCTCTAGGGCTGGACATCAGCGGAGATGCCCTCCTGAGCGCACCCTGAGAGCATGCCCTCGGCAGGGACAGATCTTCCTGGGGGCACACCCAGGGGACCAGCTGGGAGCCCCAGGGTCAAAGGAAGGAGAGGAAGGAACAACATCTGCTGTGAAGTCAGGACTCATTGTGCCCATTTGACAGAAGACTGAGGCTTGGAAGCAAAAGAGCTATCCGATGTTACTGACAAGAGGGGGATTTGAACCCAGCTGGAGCTGATCTCAAAGCCTGCCTGCCTGCCCGCCCGCCCGCCTGGAGGGCCTCAGGCCTGCAGGTGGCTGAACCCCCCTCTCCTTAGCCCCACACCACACCTGCCTACCCAGGGGCCGGTGCCACAGCCCAGCTCCGATTCTCCCATCCAGAAGCCTCCCACTCCACCTGCACTGGCCCTCCTCCCAGAGGTCCGCTACCCCCAGTGCGCACAGGGTGCAGCCCTTCCCCTCCCCCATCGCAGGTGACTGGATCCCAGAATGTGGCCAACCGCTGACTCCCTCCGGGACGCTGGGCTGGGAGGGGAGAAAGGCCGAGTGATCGCTTCCTGCCCAGAGGAGGAAAGAGGGGCCAGAGAAGCAGCTAGAGTCTCCTCCCTCAGAGGGGGGGACACAGTTGATTCTCCAATGCTGGCTCCACCAGAACGCCCCTCGTTCCTCCCAGTGAGCCCAGGGGTCCCTGAAACACCCAGAACCCCTCTCCTTGGGGTCCGTGTGCCCCCGGACCCCTGCACCAATAGGCCTGGGGTGTCAGGCCTGGCATGAGAGCCCCGTGTTGAACAGGCATCTCCCTGGGAGGAACAGAAGGCATTCACAGAGCTCCAGGCCCCTTTTCCTCAGGTGCACAGGATGCCCTGTGTCCCCACATGCGTGCCCGGTGGCGTGGGGGGGGGGGGAATGCGTGGAGGCCCCTCCATCCCCAAACCCCATCTCACCAGCAGGGGACACACTGGGAAGTCAGGTTGTACCCCGAACTTTTGCTTCCTGCTTCACCCAGAAAGTGGG